CCGACTTATGCCCCTCCTGGGAGGGCTTTTTCGGTTCCGGGGCGAGCCAGGTACCCCGGGACCTTCCTCGGACCCTCGGCCTCTCTTGCCTCGCAATGGCTCGCCCCTGGGCAGAAATGGTGGCAGCGCGGTAATTCTCTCCAGCTTGTCCAGAGTGGCAGTGATGCCACCGTTCGCCTGCGCGACACATCGGTCGTTTCGACGCTCAGTTATGTCTCACAATTCTTTCCGTTTGACCTGAAGGTTGCTCGCCGTGAACGCTGCATCTTTCACAACATTCTCAGCTAGTTCCGCAATGTAGATCTCATTGCAATGGCGGAGTGGTGCCCGCCTCCTTTCCCGCGGTCCATTCAGATTTCTGCCGTCGCCGCCGCAATTCGTTATGCTACCTACCCGCTGCGTGGGGAATGGGAACCATTCCACGCGCGTCTTCGAGACACCGCGTGGGAGGAGAGCACGGTTCACTCCTTCCATCGGTGGGAGGCTGGGCAGTGGTCTCCGCCCTTCTGGCAAGAGGAGACTTCCATCGCGCAATTCTACCATGCCCTGTCCAGCGGGAAGCGCGCCGCCTCGTTTTCAGCAGCTGCCGTGGCCGCCGCAAACCGCGCAGCTGCCAGCGAGCTCCGCGAGGCCCCAGCTGCCGAGCCACCGCGCCGCCCTAAGGTGCAGCGCGCGGTCGCGCTCGCGCCGCGCGGCACCACTTTTCATCGCCGTTCTCAGTCACTCTCGAGAAGTGTATCGCAGCCTGGGGCATCCAGCAGCCGCCATCAGCCCCAGAGGTCGCGACGCGCTGGTCTGCTCTCACCAGGGAACTCCGCAAGGTCCGCCCTAGCTGGCGCTGGGCGGTTTACAAGACGCTTTCGGGGGGTTGGACGACCACCCATCGCATGCACGTCCTCCAGCAGAAGCAGTGCGTGTTTGGGTGCCAGGCGGCGCCCGACTCGTTCCCTCAGTACCTCTCCTGCCCTGGCCTCCTGAGCCTCCTCTGGTCCCCCGACCCTCCCCCGCTCCGCAACGCACTGGGGCTTGGGCCCCGCCGTCGCCTATCCGTCTGATCCTGGCAGCGACCTCTCGTTGCTCCGGTCGGTCCAGCGGACAGCGCTGGCATTCAATCTGCACAACAAATTGAAGCACGCCGCGCCGACCCCAGCCACGATAGCTGAAGGGTTGAGCGCTGCAAAAGCATGGCTCTCGAAGCAGGCCAGCTCCAGCGGACTGACGCGTGCGGGCAATTTGCCCTCGTCTCGCGTCTTGCCCGCTTGCCCTCGTCTCTCCCTCTTTGAGTACGTGCACTCCTCCTCCTCCTCCTCCTCCTCCTCCTCCTCCTCCTCTTCCAAATCCTCCTCCTCCTCCTCCTCCTCCTCCTCCTCCTCCTCTTCCTCCTCCTCCTCCTCCTTATCCTAGATGCTGCGTTTTCGCCTTTTTCCTCCCCCTCCTTCTCCTCCCTCCTCTATACAATTACACAATGTGAATACTACTCTCCCACTTCCCCTGATGGCGTCCGGAAGATGTTCGGCACCCCCCCGCGCACTGTTTTTTTACACACAGGATTCCCCGGAGTTGGGTTTTCGCTTGTGTTTTTTTTTTCTAAAATGCTGCTCTCGCTGAGGCGCTGGCCTAATTTTCGGGCTCCCGCTCCTTCCGAATCGTGTTCCCGCTGCAGCGCTGGCCTCATTTCCGCGCTCCCGCTCGTTCCGAATCGTGCTCCCGCTGCAGCGCTGGCCCAATTTCTGCGCCTCTCGTTGTTCCAAAACGTGCTCCCGCTGCAGCGCCGACGTTTTCGATCCTTTTTAAGAAGCCCCAAATCTAGAAAATGATCCCCGGCAAAAACATTGGAGGTGATTACACATCCGGTGTCGATTCGTTGATTTTTGGGGCCGCAGAAAGCCCCCCCCCCTTTTGGGCGGCGTCCTTTTCCGCACAGGATTCCCGGGAGTTTGGTTTTCATTTATGTTTTTGAAAATCCGAGTCTTTCCGGTCCTTCAGAATGTTGCTCCCGCTGCAGCGTTCGTCCTATTTTCCGCGCCGCTGGTCGTTCCAAATCGTGCTGCCGCTGCAGTGCAACGGTCCCCGGCCCCATGCTATGATATGCTCCGCTCCAGTGGCGTTCTTCGGCTCTTCAACAATGGTGCTCCCGCTGCAGCGTTGGTCCCATGTCTGCGCCTCTGCTCATTCCAAATCGTGCTGCCGTATTGTTTTCTTGGCACTACGGCACTCTTCGGCTCTTCAACATGTCGCTCCCGCTGCAGCGTCGGTCCCATTTCTGCGCCTCTGGTCGTTCCAGATCGTGCTGCCGCTGCAGCGCATGCGTCCCGCGTCCCATGCTATGACATACTACGCTCAGCATTGCTCTTCTGCGCCATGCTATGACATGCTACGCTCTGCAGTGCTATGGCATGCTACGCTCTGGGCTCCATCGCTGGTGCTTTCAATTGTGCTCTCGCCTTAGCGCCTTTCCCCTTTGCGGCCTATCTTACACATAATCCGCTTCCGACCCCCCTGATCCTTTTCCACCTCTTTCTTGTTCCTCCTGATCCCCCCCAACCTCCTGATCCTTTTCTTCCTCCGCCTCCTCTTGTTTCGCCAGCCGTGTACCCCGACAGCGAGTATAGGGACCCCGTTGGTTTTCAGTATCCCTGGAATCTGGCTTCGTTCGCCCTGCACCCTGCGGTCGTCGTTTTTTTTCGACGTTGTCGTGTTTGTTTCGATGCCTCACTACGCAATGCCACAACCCGCTATGACATGCTACGCTCTGCAGTGGTTTTCTACGCCATGCTATGGCATGCTACGCTCTGTAGTGCTATGACATGCACTTGCACAACTCTGACATCGGACCCACTGTACCATTACCCAATATGAATGCTACTCTCCTTTCACCCCTGCAGAAATTTGAGATCTGGGTGGGGGACGCGCGTAACGGCAGCGGGCAGCTGGCGCGGGTGCCGCTCCGGCGCGGTCGCGTCGTCGTCGTCGTCGTCGTCTTCGTCGCCGGTCGTCCTCATCGTCGTCGTCGTCGTCGTCGCCGCCGTCGTCGTCGTCGTCGTGGTTGTCGTCGTCGTCGTCGTCTTCGTCGTCGTCGTCTTCGTTTTCATCGCGCCGTCGTCCTCCTCCTTTCCCTCTTAGGTAACAGGGTCAGATGCGAAGCCCGATTCGGTGAGAGGACAATGAAGTAGCTCAATGGGAAGGGATGGGAGGGAGGGGTAGGATGTCAGATGTTGACGCGAGCGCACCTAGCTTGCCGTCACCCCATCCCCCTACCCCTCCTGGTCCCGAGGAGGTTTCGGAGGCCTACGGAGGTCCATGGGGTCCCCAGGAGGTCCCAAGCGCCCAGACGCGTCGATCCTCGACCCCTCCTGTCTAGGCCCAGGTGGATCAGGGGCCGCACAGAGGCGGAGCCCGGGGCAGTTGGCCGCAGGGCCTTCGGCGCCGAGGGGCGCCGTGCCGTTGCAGGGCCGCGGGGTGATGTGGGCCCTGTGGTTGCCGCTGGCGCTGTGGCACTGCCCGGGTGCCATTGCGGGAGGTGGTCTGGCTTTGCGCGGATGGCCGGGCGCAGGGCAGCCAGAGTCTCTGGACACGCTGATATCTGAAGCCTTCCCTGCGAGTTCACGTGAGGGTTCTCTCGGAGATGGCGATGCCGGTGACGAGGGCGGTGCGAACGTGGTGCAGAAGCGTGCGGCCCATGATGACCCATTGTTTGCCTTGTATCTGCGGGTCACGGTGTTTGGGGAGCTCGGGGACCACGCCGACGGATCGAAAGAATCCCGGCTGAGTGCCGTCGAGCGGGCCGAGAAGTTGGTGTTCACCACGCTCACGCGGAGCTTGTTCGTCGGGGCTGCCGGGCAGCAGACAGGGTTCAAGATTAAGGAGAAGCCCACCATCAGAAGCTACGTGACCCCGCCCTACCAACTCGACACAGAAAGGCCTGGTGGTGCAGACCTCGACATGCGCAGCCCGTTCACACGCAGCCATTTTGAGTTCACGTTCAAAGGCTTGAATATCTAGCTGCCTGCGGCAAGCCTCGCTGCCGTGCCAGCGCAGCATCAAAGTCCATTGAGGATGGTCCTACCGAGGTCTCCCGAACAGCTCCATGGAATTTGTTTGCTCATTATGTTGGGTCGTGTGGGAGGCGGTGCTACGATGCTGTGGCGTGTCTTGGCTGGAACGTTTCGTGGCTGTCGCATTGCCTGCTTCTGGGAGGATTCTTGGGGGTTTCTCGGGGAGCCTCGTAAGGGTCTCTCTTGGGGCCCTCTCGGGAGCCTCCTGGGGAGTTATGGACGGCCTCTTGCGGGCCTGTTTGGGGAGTGTTGGTCGCCTTCGGCGCGATGGTTTTGCCGATCTCTTCCGAAGATGCTCGATTGCACTAGCTAGGGGCCGTCTGGGCGTGTTTGGGGGTCGTCTTGGAGTCCTCGTGAGGCGGTCTTGGGCAGTCCAGGGTCGAGGGGCCATCTCGGTGACGTCTCGGGGCCGCGCTGCGCCGTCTTGGGTGCTCCTCTGGGGTCGTGGTGAAGCTCTCGGGCGCCTCAGGGCGCCTCCCTGAGCCTACATCCCAAGCTGAGAAGCTTCGGAAACGAAAACCAGCAAAAGCCATTTGTTGGTCAATGGTTTTGGCCCCGCAGCGCCTTGCTGGAATGCTCCTGTGGCGCCTCTAGGGAGCTTCTTGGAGTCTCTTGGGGGCCTCTAGGGTCGAGGGGGGCAACGGGGGACCTCTGGGCGGTCGTTGAGCCGCATTGGGCTGGCCATGTGGCATATATATATATATATATATATATACATATATATATATATATGTGTATTGCGGCCGCCTTGTTGCGGTCTTTGGCCGTCCTTGGACCCGCCGGGCGGCCGCAAGCAGCGCTGGAGGTCAAAACTCGGGAGGCGATTTTCCGGAGCGCGCGCGTCGAGGGGGTTGGGGCTCCCTTGGAAAGATGCAGAAACCCTACCAGGCAGCCAAGAGGCGCTCCAAGGCTGTCAACGTGCTTAGGGCGCGGTGGCGGGTTGACATGCTGAACACCGTGACGACGAGCATTTGCTTAGACTACAAGAGGCCGCAACATGAGTTGATAAACAGCATGCTCCGGGCCCTGGACGCTGCCAACGCGTACCCATCCGACATGATCGGCGTGGCAGCGCAAATCCAGACTGGCGTCCGGAGCATCGTCCATTTTATGGCTGGCACGATCGACACGGGCGGCGCCTCGGACGAGACTGGGAACAGAGAGTGCGATAGAGGCAGGCACCCATTCAAAAACGAGAACGTGGAGGGCTGCTTCATTGAGGGCGGGTGCTACTGGGACGAGCCGCCCAGAGTTCCCAAACCGGACGAGCAACAGCAGATGTTCGCTTTCTTCCTGCCGCCGTGTCCAGAAAATTCCGAGCCGGACGTGACGGGGAAGGTCTGCAGATGCAGCAGGGGGTACGACGGCGAGTTCCACGTCGTCACCGAGGAAGGCGACCAACGAGCCCGGCCGACTTACGTGCCCGCCCACGGCCACCAGGAGAGCTGCACGTTGGTCGGCGGGATCTGCGACGTCCTTCAGCCACACCCTATGGTCCTCGACGACGGCTCGCCCGCGAAGGGCACCATCGGCGAGAAGGCAAATGTCAAGTGCGCGGATGGCTATATCCCATCCGGGGAGGCTACGTGTGGCGGGGATGGGAGGTGGTCGCCCGAGACCACGTGCACGTTCCTGCCTTCGGTAGCCCCCCCTGTGCCTGTCTGCGGCGTGCCGCGGGGCGTCGAGTACGACACAGGCTCTTGCGAAGATTGCCAAGGCACAGAGGGGAAACCGTGGGAGCCGAGGTGCTCGTGCCATGTCATGTGTGCGGAGGGGTTCAAGAGCACTGGCGAGGTTCAGCCAGGCGACAAGACCTGTAAGATTGAGAGGTATGCGTGCCCAGAGGGAGCGCAGTGGACCCGGGAACAAACGTGCGTGGATGCGCAGGGCAGCCAGACCAGCCAGTGGTGCTGCGAGGAGGCGTGGGGAAGCACTGTGCCACCAGATAGACTGAGCCGTACTGCCCCCTGTGCGACTTTGACCGACCACCGGAGCTGCATGTTAGCCCAGGATAGAAGCGACGGCGCCCCGTGTTGTTGGCGCCACGAGGGTTTCGGCGACGGGGACGCCCCCAAGTGCTTGCCCATGTCGGACAGCAGATTGGCGGAGTTGACCCCCACAGGCAGCTGTGCGATCGAGAAGTTCGTGCCTGCGGCAAGCTGGGAGGCCTTCCCTACCTGCACGAAGACATGTTCCCCCATTTTGCACGAGAGCAACGTGCTGCCAAAGGATTGCGACAATTGCGTGCCGGGTGATTGCAAGTGCACTGTGCGGTGCGAAGAGGGGTTTGAGCGCTTCGGCGGAGGCCCAGAACATGACGTGCGGGATTGCCAGAGCAGAGACCACAGCCTGACCCCTGTCGCTCCTGTCTGCTTCAGGCCAGGAGACTTCCCGGACCTTGGCCGTCGCAGATGCGGCGCTGTTATCCGGCTGCCTGCGGCAAGTCCCGCCAAGGTGCCAGCTCGCCGCTAGATACAGCCTGTGTGGCGATGGTTCGAGAAACGCCCAGAAGGGCGTAACATGTGACACCTCGGCCCTGCTTTGAGGCTGTCGCGGGTTGCTGCGTGGCCGTCTTGGGCTGGAGTTGAATGGTGGTGGGTATGGTAATCAAGAGGAAGACCAGTAGGAGGACCATCAGCAGGAGGAAGATGAGGACAAGCTAGGATGAAGAGGAATAATGTCACATGTGTGGCGCCAGAGGGTTCAGCCCAGAGGGCTGTACCATGTGGCACCTCTCGTCTGTATTCAAATTGGACACTGGCATGGAACTTATCTAGACCGTCTTGGGGAATGACGTGACATGTGACACCTCTAGTCCCAAGGCCTCGACAAAGTCATAAACGATTACCACTCGAGCGTCTCTAAATGCAACCTGTGTGAGGATAGTTCGAGCAACGCCCGAAGTGGTGTACTTTGTGACACCTCGGCCCGCTTGAGACTGCCTTGGATAGCAGTGAGCCCGTCTTGAGCTGGAGTGACATGATGATTGAACCTGATGATGATGATGATGATGATGATGATGATGTTGATGATGATGATGAGGATGATGATGATGATGATGATGATGATGATGATGATGATGATGATGATGATGATGATGATGATTATTCCCTACCTAGGCTCTGCCTAGAAGGGTTCTTACTCTCTTTGCTTAAAGGGCCGGGCAATGCTAACCGCCCCGGGCGGTTCCCCCAGTCCCCGCCCCGCGGTTCCCCCAGTCCCCTGGGAGCTTTAGCCTTAGCTTTAGCTTTAGCTTAGCTTTAGCTTAGCTTTAGCTTAGCTTTAGCTTAGCTTTAGCTTAGCTTTAGCTTAGCTTTAGCTTAGCTTTAGCTCTTAGCTTAGCTTAGCTTTAGCTTAGCTTTAGCTTAGCTTAGCTTAGCTTTTAGCTTAGCTTTAGCTTAGCTTTTAGCTTAGCTTAGCTTAGCTTTAGCTTAGCTTAGCTTAGCTTTAGCTTAGCTTAGCTTTAGCTTAGATAGCTTAGCTTTAGCTTAGCTTTAGCTTAGCTTAGCTAGCTTAGCTTTTAGCTTAGCTTAGCTTTAGCTTAGCTTTAGCTTAGCTTTAGCTTAGCTTTAGCTTAGCTTTAGCTTAGCTTTAGCTTAGCTTAGCTTTAGCTTTTAGCTTAGCTTTAGCTTAGCTTTAGCTTAACTTTAGCTTAGCTTTAGCTTAGCTTTAGCTTAGCTTTAGCTTAGCTTTAGCTTAGCTTTAGCTTAGCTTCAGTTTAGCTTTAGCTTAGCTTTAGCTTAGCTTTAGCTTAGCCTTAGCTTAGATTTCGCTTAGCTTTCGCTTAGCTTTAGCTTAGCTTCAGCTTAGCTTTAGCTTAGCGTTAGCTTAGCTTTAGCTTAACTTTAGGTTAGCTTTAGCTTTAGCTTATCTTTAGCTTTGGCTTTAGCTTAGCTTTAGCTTAGTTTTAGCTTAGCTTTAGCTTAGCTTTAGCTTAGCTTCAGCTTAGCTTTATCTTAGCTTCAGCTTAGTGTTAGCTCAGCCTTAGCTTAGCTTCAGCTTAGCTTTAGCTTAGCTTTAGCTTAGCTTTAGCTTAGCTTTAGCTTAGCTTTAGCTTAGCTTTAGCTTAGCTTTAGCTTAGCTTTTGCTTAGCTTTAGCTTAGCTTCAGCTTAGTGTTAGCTTAGCTTTAGCGTAGTGTTAGCTTAGCTTTAGCTTAGCTTTAGCTTAGCTTTAGCTTAGCTTTAGCTCTGCTTTAGCTTAGCTTTAGCTTAGCTTTAGCTTAGCTTTAGCTTTGCTTTAGCTTAGCTTTAGCTTAGCTTTAGCTTAGCTTTAGCTTAGCTTTAGCTTAGCTTTAGCTTAGCTTTAGCTTAGCTTCAGTTTAGCTTTAGTTTAGCTTTAGCTTAGCTTTAGCTTAGCCTTAGCTTAGCTTTAGCTTAGCTTTCGCTTAGCTGCAGCTTAGCTTCAGCTTAGCTTTAGCTTAGCTTTAGCTTAGATTTAGCTTAACTTTAGGTTAGCTTTAGCTTTAGCTTATCTTTAGCTTTAGCTTTAGCTTAGCTTTAGCTTAGTTTTAGCTTAGTTTTAGCTTAGATTTAGCTTAGCTTCAGCCTAGCTTTAGCTTAGTGCTAGCTTAGCCTTAGCTTAGCCTTAGCTTAGCTTCAGCTTAGCTTCAGCTTAGCTTTAGCTTAGCTTTAGCTTAGCTTTAGCTTTGCTTTAGCTTAGCTTCAGCTTAGCTTTAGCTTAGCTTTACTGTTACTGCTAATTCTTCTTCCCTAGGGGCTCCAACTCCTAGGTAGGGTCGCACTGGAATAATGTTGATTATGGTGATGATGATGATGACGATGATGATGATGATGATGATGATGATGATGATGATGATGATGATGATGATGATGATGATGATGATGGGCCTCCATGCAAAAAGTCGCCGCACAGCTCTTCCAGGAAGCCAAGCAGAAGTGCGACGCCACCAGGGCCGCCCACGAGGCGCAGAAGCAGAGGCTCAAGGCCAAGCGGCCCCGTGCAGTCTGCTCCTCCTGGGGGCCGTGCTGCTGGCGCTGCAGGCGGCGACGACGGAGCTCAGGCCTCAGGGGGTCACCCAAGCGCCGAACCCGCCGCCATCCCAGGGGCCCCCATCAGGGGCAACAGTCGCCGCCGACGCCACCTCCCAGCCCCAGCCCAACGCCAAGGAACGGGCTGCCGCCGTCCTGGCGGGCAAGGACGCCAGCAAGGGCAGTGACGTCAAGCAGCGCGGGTAGCACGCAGCCAACGCCACCTGCAAGAACACGTCGGGTGCGTTTCCTAGAGCACCCCAGCTACCACTACTTTGAACCAGAGGCTGATGATGCGCAGTGTCCAGGGGCCCGGCACTACCTACAGCATGATCAGACCCACAAGTTTGGAGAAGGCACGGCTCATTCATACAGGGGGAATGAGAATACCCAACAGGACATACTAACACCATATAAGGGCCTCCCACGTCGCCGCAGATGGGGGAATGCCTACTCTACGACATACACGGGACCAACCTCGAGCTGCACCAGGTCGTCGACTGGTCCATCCTTGACGAGCGGTGCACTCACGACCCCAATGGGGTCGCAGAGGTCGCCACACGAAGTTCGTAGACACCTCCCCCATCTGGCCCGCTCCCTGGGGATGGGGGCACGGTCAATCCAGATGCGGAGGACATCCTCGCAGAGGGCGGCTGGTTCCTCATCGGGCACCTCGGCCCCCGACGGCACGCACCGCTCAGCCCCACCAGCTGCCCAAGGTGACGCCAGAGGGTACCGACCGTCGGCAGGAGCCGTCGGTGCGCACTGATCAGCGTTGCCAGACCAGCGCACTGGGGCCAGAGGGTACCGACCGTCGGAGGCAGCTGGGGATGCCAGCCCAGATATCGAGAATGCCCCTCCACCTACAGCTAACATACCGCCAACCGATAACACTGCGCCGCAGAAGGAGACGGATGGCAAGCACAGGAGGACCAACATGGATGACGAGGATGATCTATTCGACCAGCTCGAGGATCAACATGAGGTCCAGGGTGGATGGCCAGCAATTATGCGAGAAGACGACCCACCCGAACCCAAGCAGCCGGAGACCCACGAGGTGGAGCCCGACAGCCAGGCACCCCTGGAGAACAACCGAGTGGGAGTACCCCAGGCCCCGCAGCCAGGGGAGCTCAAGCAATACGGACACCCGAAGCATGCAAAAACGAATGACGCTATTTTCTATTTCAGTAACTACACCAAGTGGACCGGCTGGGCCAGGAGTGTATCGGGGAGCTTCGACACAAACACCAGATCCACATCCAGATGGGAGCAGAGACTCATCGTCGGGGGGAGCACTATCACGCAGCTGCTCGACATCTTCGGCGAGACCACTGGCAGGTGGAAGGCCGCGAATCTCGAGCCACTGAAGTAGGAGGCCAGCTTGGGCACGGAGGCACGTGGGTTATGATCTCTTCCCACCTTGCCTCTCGCCCCCTCCGCCTTCGGCAAACTGAGTGGCCCATTCCAGCTCAGGGCCAGGGGCAGTGGGCCGCCAGGGAGCTACGCATCCACGGGACGAGCATCCTGTTTATTTCAGCCTGCTTTGCCGAAGGGGAGGGCCTCGCCGGGTCCAATATGGAAATGATGGAGGAGATCTCCTGTAAGATTCTGGCCCTGGGTATTCCTTTCATCTGGGCTGCTGGTTGGAACATGGACTTCGGACATCGAAAACTACCTGGGGGCCGCGTTCGTGTTGCCCCAAGGGGCCCAGAGGCAGTTCGGGAAGAGGGTTATCGACTACCTCTTGGTCTCCAGGCCCCTCCTCGAAGATCTCTCTCTTGGATGCGATTATCACGGGCCTTGGGCTCAGCCGCGCATCGGCCTCATAGGTAAGCTCCGCAAGCAGTGCGTCACCAGGCAAATGCAGGTGTTGGTCGAACCCCCGCCGCTCCCGTTAGGGCCCCAGGGCCCGACGCTTCCGTGGGCAGCTTTCGTTCAGAGTACTCAGGGACTGGTCGAACAAGCCCCAGGACCGAAGTGCAACGCCGCAGCTGCCTGTACCTCTACTGCAATATCCAGGCAGTGCGCAGTTTTTTCGCTTGCAGCGGAGGCGCTGCATCGTTCTAAGCACGGCGACCCTGCTCGGCCTGTTCGCCGCCATCGAGGGTGGAGGCCCAGGAGGTTTTCCAGGAGTTCCTGCTGGGGGTTGTGAACATCCGCGACCTAGACCTCGAGGGGGCTCGGACCACGGCTCGGCTCTGCAAGTGTCTTCGGGACCAGGCCGACAGGCTCGCCTACCAGACCGAGAAGGAAGGATTCCAGCAGTGGCTCCAGGAGAGCCTAAAAGGAGGGGCCAAATGGGCCCATTACCACACCAGGACCTGGGGCCTGCCAGAGCCCGCGCCCAAAATCGAAGCGGACGACTCTGGGGCCCCATTCTGGGAAGCTAGTGAATCGCTGAAGGTCAAGGCCCACAGGTGGAAATCTCTCCGGGCTGGTCCGCAGAGGCAGGGGCGGGCCGTTGAACAGGACTGGCGGCAAACCTTTCGTGACGAGGCGCTCGAGGCGATGCGCGACTTGCCGCCGCTCGATCCTCAACATCTTTTTAATGTACGCAAGTGCTTCCCTGCCAGCATGGGCAAAGGGGCGCGGCAGTGGCGCCCGCAGCTGTGGGCAGATCTCCCAGAGGATGGCCAAACTGCCCCGCTCGACTTGCTTGCGTCGATCGAGGCGGAGTGCAGATGGCCAGCCCAAGTTTTACTCAACGAGGCAGGCATGCGCCCCAAGCCCACAGGTGAAGGAGACCGCCCTATTACCCGCACCCAGAGCCTCTACCGCATTTGGAGCCGTCTTCGGAAGGACCCCATCTCCCAATGGGAAAAATCACGCGCTGGCTTCTGGGACGCTGCAGTCAAAGGTTCCGATCCCCTTCGTGCTGCCCTGCTTCGCCTCGCCCGAGCCGAAGCTGCCTCCTGCGCGAATTGTGAGTGGTCCCTGGTGCTCCTGGACGCCGAAAAGTTGTTCGACACCTTGGCGCCCTTCTGGATTCATTCTCTTGGGAAGCAGCTGGGTTGCCCCATCGGCATCACGTGCCTAGGCATGGCTATGCACACAGCTGACCGAGCCCTAACCATCGGACCAGAGGCCTCTGCCTTTCTGACAGTAGACCGTTCCACTTTGCAAGGCTGCCTTCAGCCAGTTGCTTGGGCTAGGGCCTACCTATGCGACATGATGGAGACGACGCATGCTAGGTGCTGGCCCCTCGAGCTCAGCACGCGGGTGGATGACATTAGCATGCAGGTCAGAGGCCCCAGGCCCATCGTCCGCAACCTAACCACTTCTGGAACCATGGCGCTAGTCCAAGTTATGCGATCCAGAGGTTTGAAGCTTTCGCCTAAGTCGCAGGTGCCCGCCAGTTCAGGGGACCTGCTCAAGCAGATTCACCAAGGCCTCAAGGATGCGAGCGTCGAGCTGCGGGCAGTTGCCAAGGCTCGCGACCTCGGCCTCGATTCTTCGTCTCAGAGACGCTCGACCACGGTAGTCGGAGCAAGGATGAAGAAAGTCCAAGTCCGAGCCAAGCGAGTTAGAGGCATCCTCAAGGTTGAAAAGAAGGCTTCGAAGTTGGGGCCCACCGGTGTCAAACCTCAAGCCTCGCGGGGCCTCGCTGGACAAGGTGGGCCCCCCGCGGTGCTCAAGGACTTCAGGACCACCATGGCCTCCATCTCGGGTAAGCAGAGGCCAGGGGGATGCGCCGCGCTCGCTCTTAGGCTAGGACCAGGGAAGAAAGGAGAGCCGCTTCTCTTCGGGCGCGTGGACCTCTTGAAGACCTGGATCGCCATCCCCCCCAAGATGATGCAATAAAGAGTGGCCCTGGAGGCTGCGTGGAAGAAGTGTCTAGCCGCCATGCGTGCGGCCGCTAGTCCCTGGAACAAGGTCCGAGGTCCCATCGGGGCCGTTATCACCGCCCTCCTACAGGCCAACTGGGATCCCAAGTTACCATGGGCCTGGGCCGACTACGCTGGCGATACCTTTTATCGTATCCCTGGAGAAGCTCCCGTCGACAGGGCCCCCTTCTACCTGGAGACCTTCTCAGGCTCCCCTGCTGGCTGGACGCGCTGCGTCGTCTCGGAGCTGGAGGCCACTTTCGAGCTCCGCGTTTGGCAAGACGTGCAAGCATTTACGCGGGAAAAGGCCTTGAGGGAGGAGCTGATTTTACTGTCCTCGGGAGGATGTGTCGGACCTACCGCCGAAAGAACATGTCTGGGCATGCTAGTTTCCTGGAACTCCTGGCCACGGGGGCCCTCTGGCCAGGGACTCGAAGGTTTCCAGATAATAAAGAAAAGCAGAAGTGCAAGCGGCGCGGCCAGCCCGAGACCATTTTCCACCAGCAGCGGGGATGCTCTCAACTTCAGGCGTCTGAGGGCACGGCCTTCGACCTGGCTGGCCAAGCCGCTGCCGAGCATGAAGATTACCCGTGCTTCTGGTCGCGCGGACTGGTACCCCTAGGCTGGGCGTGCAGAATATGCGACCACTGGTCCGACTTTCGGTTCTCCTCCGACGGGGTCCTCCAGCGCCAACAGCGGTTCCAGCTACCTCCCCAAGCAGTAGCAGGCTCTGACGGCAGCGGGGGGGAGCATTCCTCGGACGTAAGGCGCCGGCGCTGCGGGTGGGGTTTCGCGGTGGCCTGCCATGGGCAAGTCCTCAGGAAAGCCTGGGGCCCCCTGGTGGGCCGTTCCCACACGGTCCCGCTCGCTGAGCTAGAAGCTGCGGCCCAAGCCCTGCGCCACACATCAGGTCCAGGGAAATTTGTTATAGATGCCAAATACGTTATAGATGGCATAGCTCGGGCCCCCCAGCACGTCAGCCCCTCGAACTCGGCAGCCTGGGCCCGTTTTTGGGCCGTTGTCCAGGAGCACCCAGGGGACCCCGAGTTTTGTCAAGTTAAATCGCACCTGTCCCGTGCTGATATCGGGCGCCTCGTGAGCGAAGATGATTTTGCGGCGAATGAGGCGGCCGATTTTGCGGCCGACCTTGGCGCGAAGGAACCCGCGCTCCCCCCCAAACCTCTCGCCGACGTCCCCGCCCTAAATGCCTTGGCTTTTAAGGTTGCCAAACATCTCCTCACGGTCGGCTTCGAAGAGGCCGAGACCCGAGCTGAAGACGCCCAGGCAAACCTTGGGCCTTCTTTTGCCGAGCGAATTGCGGCCCAGCGAGCGAAGCGACTCGACGAGAGAGTTGAGACCGCTGCCGCGGCAGCAACTACCTCCCACAGGCCCATCCCGTGGCGAGGAGGATTGCGGTCCGTGGTCTGCCTCCAGCCCCCCACTCGGGCCCTTCCCTAAGTTCGAGTGGTTCCGTGCATCCTGTCTAGGCCGCCCAGCCCAGATCCATGACAGCCACCACCTCCGTAACACCAGGGGGCTGTGGTGGCGCACCACGTGTGGAGGATCAGGGGATACTAAGTTCCTCTCCCTCACTAAGGTTTGCATGCCTCCGACGAAAGCAGGGAGAGCTGCCCTGGATCGTCTCGAGCGAGATGAGCTTCCTCCAAAGTGGGCCTCGTGGCCAGATGCGTCGCGAGGATAGCCGTCTCTTGTTCTTCCTTTTTGGGCCCCCCCTGTAAGTAGAGGATCACGCCCCCTGTGAGCGCCCCAGGAGGAGGAGGACGAGGAGGAGGAGGAGGAGGAGGAACAGGAGGAGCAGGAAACGGAAGGACGTCACATGCGAAACCTCTTGCCTCGAGGCTCGCAGAACACAGTAGACGGTGACCTCTCGAGCGCAGCTAGATGCACTCCATGTGATGGCGGTCCTAGAGACACCAAGAAGACCGAAGAGACACCCAGAAGGCTGTAACATGTGGCATCTCTCGCCTGTAGCCCTGTCTGAGATGTTAGGGGGGATCTCATGAAGCTCACCTGGGCCGTCTCGGGCCGTCTTGGTCCTTGTCGACTATCTGGGGAGCCTCTTGAAGGTGCCTTGGGACTCTCTGGGGCATTTTGGGGCCCTCATGGCAAAACCTGCGTCTTTCATGGGCCCTCATGGGGCCTTCTTGGGTCCTCTCTGGCTTCTCCGAGGCGCTCTTGGAGCCAAGAGCCCTGGGAGACCGAACGTGTGGCGTATCACAAGAAGGGCTCTTCAGGTTCTGGAGCGCGTCCAGCTTCCTGGAGGGTATCTTGGCTCTTTCACTGATGCCTACGAGGGCTCTTGGCTCCCCTTTGGAGCCTCTGGGGGTCTGCCTTGAAGCTGTCCTGGGTGCCTTTTGAGACAGTGTTGGGCCATCTCGGTGGCCTCGGCAGCCTTCTCCAGGCCGTCTTGCAAGCCCTAGGCAGCTTCGGAGAGCGCCAGGGAAGCGTCGGGGCGCCCAGGGCACCTCTCGGCGGCGCGCCCAGTGGGGAAGGCAGCGGGAGCGGGCCTTCTCGGAAGGCTCAGATGGCGTCCAGCCTTCTGAGAAGCTTGCTAAAACCTTCTCCTGAAGAAAAGCCCAGGAAAGCCCATCAGAAGGCCGGAAGGCTTCCGAGAAGGCCCGCCGTCTTCTGAGAAGGCCTGCCCCCTCTCATTTCCCCCCTCGGCGTGTCGCCGAACCTCGGGAGGGAGAGGCGGTGCACGCAGCCTCGTGTGTCGTAATGGGAGGGGGCCCTCAAAGGACGACGACGACGCCTCAGCGTGCCGGCGGGCACGGTGGCGGAGCAGCTCTGAGCTCCTGCTGGTGGTCGAGGGCTGCCAGAACTGCAGATCAGGGAAGGAAGATTGCTACTGCAAGGCCAGATGCCCAGATCACACGAGGTGGGTTGGCGGCGGCCCGCAGGATACGCCGCTCAAGTGCGTCTCCGAGGAAGGGCATGGCGTGCAGGTGAACATCGTGAAGTCGTGCGAGGAGATCACAGACCCCAGGCAGTGCGCGAACAGCATCATTCGGGAGGTCCCGAGCGGTCGGGAGGTCCCCTGCTGCTTTAGGAGCTCGGGCTTCGCGGACGGCGGCGGGACTATCTGCGCCCGGCAGGGCTCGCCGCTGATCACCTGGGAGATCTGGCGTCGAGCTCTGTGCACAAATCCACAGCCCTCTGACCAGGGCCCATCCTGGGTCCACGAGCGATGCACACAGCCAAGGCGCTGAAAGAAGGGCCGGTTCGGGCTCAGGAGGGGATCGGGTTTTCGGGCCGTTCCTGACGTCTAGGCCGGGAAACCGACTCCCAGCCGAGGCTCGCCGTTGCCAGAGAGGCCCCTTCGTTCCTTCTTGTGCGTTCCTTCTGGCAGCGCGTCGGCTGTACACGTGTGCCGCCCTGGCCAAGCCAGGGGCGTGTGCACCGCCCGTGGGTCCAGGAGTGGGGCCTGGCCAGTGGGCGGTGGCACCCGTGTGCCCGGGCCTGGCCGCCCCAGGAGAGGAGGCCCGAGATCTGCACCGAGAGGCTGCAGTCGCACTGGGAGCCGCTGCCCGAGTGCAAGCCGCTCTGCGACCGGGGGCCTCTCGACGCGGCGCCCCACGTGGAGGTGAGCAGGGAGTGCGGCGACTGCGTCGTCGGCCAGGAGTCGCCAGCCTGAAGCATGCGTCCCTATCCCTGCGATTGGCATCACCTCGCCTCGATACCGATCTTGAGGATTCCCTCCGTGTCTGAGGGCGCATCCTGAGATTGTCATCGCCTCTGGGCTTGCCAATCTCAGGGATAGGGACAAGCTCGAGGCCGGTTCAGGAGGACTGCAAGTGCAGGGTGACGTGCTCGCCCGGATACGTGCGCGTCGGGGGCGGCGCGGTCTTGGGCACCAGGAGCTGCCTGGAGGACCAGTCGTACGGCGACGCCCCGGTGTGCCGGGAGGCCCTCCCCGGTGAGACCACTGGTGACGCAGAGCACGACACGGGCGAGCCTCTGGGCGTCGTGCCTCCCATCTGCCCTGTGCCGCAGGTCCAGGACGCGACCACCGAAGGCTGCAGAGATTGTGCCGCGGGCGACCCTGACTGCCGCTGTCGCATGACATGCAAAGAGAAGTTCGCCGACATGGAGGATCCCACGCGTGAAGACCCTCAGGTCTGCAAATCGGCGGAGGAGCGAGAGCTCGCGCGCGGAGCGCTGTGCACGGAACTGATGGAAGAGGAGCAGTGCCTGTCGAGCAGGGATCGCGAGCTTGGAACGACGTGCTGCTGGCGCGCAGAGGGCCACGCCAAGGATGGCGAGGCCGTGTGCGCACCCTTCGGCTGGAAGGATATGTGGTACGCGCCCGACAGGTGTGCCCAGGTGTTGACGGCGACCTTTCGCCTGCCAAAGTGCGAGCCGTTGTGCTTGCTGCCGCCCGAGGACGACCTCAAGAGGAAGCACGTGGTGGCTGAGGACTGCGACAGATGCGCGGCCGGAAAGGAAGGCTGCAAGTGCAAGCTGACCTGCGAAGGCGACTTCGAAGTCTTGGAGGGGCGCCCAGGCCAGCCATCCTGCACTAAATCGGATCGTCTGTTCAAACTGCCGACATGCGTGTGCCCACCAGACAAGGCGAAATCATGTGCCAAAGAACTGCTGATGTGCGAGCCGCTATCGGCCACGACGAGGGGACTATATGGCGATGTCGAGGGATGCGACCGTTGCTCCCCTGGCGATCCTTGCACGTGCGAGATTTCCTGCAGGGATACTGACAAGCTGATCGGACCGAATAACCCGACGTGCGAGGAGCTCCCCTTGAGCCTGGCCACCGAGAAGGCGTGCAAGGACATAACCGACGAGGACGAATGCTTGGCGAGCCAGGAACATGACAAGGAGGAGCCGTGCTGCTTCCAAGAGTCCGCTTCGGGGGGCGAGTGTGTCGCCCGCAGCGAGGTGGCCTCTGGGCTGCCGGTCATGTGCGCTGTTCACTTTATGGGCAAGTGGACGAACCTCCCCGTCTGTAGCCGCAGGTGCGAGAACACCTTCGCCGACCGCCAAGATGTCAAGCAGGACAGCTGCGACGACTGCGCCGTCGGAGAAGCCGAGTGCGGCTGCAGCGTGCGCTGCCGAGATGGCCTGGAGCACTATGGCGGGCCCGCAGAGGGCCCCAGGCCGTGCCAGGCGAGTGGGTTCTTCGAGGATGCCCCGGTGTGCAGCGAGCACGAGGCGCCACAGGAGTGCCCAGCTCCCGACACCAGCCTACAGGTGTCGAGTAGGGGATCGACTGCAGATTTCATTTGCTCCAATTTGCTTTTAGTTGGCGAACCCATGAAACATGCGTACAATGTTCGTAGATTAACCAACACTGCGCGTATTCTGTTGTAGATTCGACGAGAAAGTCAATTTTGGGGTAAATTGATTCTGTAGTAGACCCCCTGCTTGAAGGTGACCCCGACGTGGGCCATGTACAGAGAGCAGGTTCAGTGTTACGATGTTGGCCACCAGGTGCTCCCGACGTGGGCTGGGGTGGTCAAGACACCCAGCAGCGCGCTTGGAGCCTGCAAGGAGGCGTGCGGGAGCTACGGGCTCCTGGTGCTCTGGGGTACTGGCCGCTGCGACTGCTGCAGGGGTGACCGGACAAAACGCCTCGAGGAGGATGTCAAGAATCCGAGAGCAGTCGCGTGGGTGAAAGGCCCGCTGAGGTCCAGCGGCTGCTCTGGGTGCACTGCAGGGGAAGGCTGCGCTGGATGCTCCGTCGGCTGCGCCGAAAAGCATGCGCTGGTGACTTCTGGCGAGAGCGATGCCGAGCCAGCTTGCGTTGCGGAGACCGTCGTCAGGAAGTCGGCGGTGTGCGAGCAAGCCGAAGGCAAGGAACATTGTTTGAGGATGGAGCAAGAAAGCCAGCCATGCTGCTGGGATGGCGCGAGGTGCTTGAGAAAGAAGTCTCCGCTGATATACAGCATGGCGAACCTGCAGTGCGCCCCCATGACGCAAGGAGTCTGGACGGGCCTCCCTCAGTGCACGCCGGCCTGCTTCCACGATTTCCATGAGGCTGGGCACGTCGTCCACACCGGTTGCGACAAGTGCATCCCAGGGGACGAGTCGTGTCCGTGCAGAGTGGAGTGCGACAGAGGCTTCGCGGCGGTCGGCGACGGGGCCCCGGAGCGCAAGTGCACTCCCGAGAACCCCAGGATGGCCCGGGCGCCCGTGTGCGTCCAGAGGGATCCGCTCTGGTGCCCGTCGCAGGACGGGAGGGCGTTCAGCCTGTGGGAGTGGTCGCGGGGCGTCTCCTGGAAGAACGGGCTGGACATGGCAGGCTGCGACTGCCAGCCTGACCAAGCAGAACCATGCGCGTGCAGCGTGTCGTGTTCGGTTGGCTTCAGGCTCATGGAAGGCACGCCGGGCGAGAAGACGTGTGTCAAGAGGGACGCCAAACACATCCTACAGGAGAAGCCGTGCGGCAGCATCAAACAGCTGGAGGAGTGCCTCGCTTCCACCGAGAAGGGAGAGCCATGCTGCTGGTGGCGAGGCGATCTGGCCAGCGGGACGTGTGGGCTGTCGAGCGACAGCATGTCACAGTGGCGGCTTACGGGGCGCATGGGCAGTCCCTGGCGGTGCGCTCAACTCGAGGTAGCGGAGTGGGAAGGGCTGCCGGTCTGCCACCACAAATGCAACCCAGACGAATTCGCCCGCTATACCTCCCGCCTGAGGGTCGTGGGCTGCGACGACTGTGTTGCCGCACAGTGGGCCGAGGAGGAGTGCCAATGTCAGATCTCCTGCGACTCTGGCGCGCTGCTGAAGCCGACATGCGTTGGTGACTCTTTGAAAGCCGAGTGGTCCAATATCTGGGACTTGCAAGCCCTCTACGACAGTTGCAAGGGGACCTGCCCCACGCTCGACTCGCAGGGTGGCACACTGGACGTGTCGGACTGCGACAATCCACTCTCCGACGGAGCTGGTTGCAACGTCAATTGCCTCCACAAGAACAGAATCGAGAGGGTCGGTGGTGCTCTAGAGGGCAGTTGGGTGCGGTGCCAGAGGGACATGCGTAACTCTTTGGTGATATCGCAACTCCCTGTCTGCGCGCCCATGTGCACTACGCCCGATGACCAGTATGGGAGGCTGGACGTTCGCCAGTGTTCCTCGACGTGTCGTGGTGGCGGGCAGGATTGTAACTGTCGGGTCGCTTGCAAAAACGGCCACACTCCGAGCGGAGGCGGCGCACCAGGCAAGAAGAGGTGCAGGTTATTCCCTGGTAGCGACATGGTGGCTGCGTCTGCTGGCTGGGTGGACGCCAACCCAGAGCTGGAAGACCACGTAAGTTTCACTTTGGCGGTCGCTGAGAGCCAGCGAAAGGCTGAGGATTGGGAGTTGCTTATCTCCGACGCGTTAGGGTACACAGTGTTGCCCTCTAATGTGAAGGTGGAGCTGGATGTGTTAGCCATCGCTTCGAAGCATTTGGTCCAGGTGAACGTCAGCAGCGGACGGGACGGCAAGCAGGTGGAGGCCAACGTCAAAGACGGGCGGTTGCGGGGAGTCATCGGGGCGGCCTTGGGCGTGCCAGAGTCGTCCGAGATACCAGACCTTACCATCAATGACGTCAAGCTACATCCTGCAAAAAAGGGTTGGAACCAGTTTCCGCAGTGCCTCCCGCCCGTCACTATCCAGGTGGTTAGTGCATTGTCCGGCAACCCCATAGAGGGTGCGGACATAAGTATCTACGCCGACTCGACTTGCACGCCAGGAACAGAGCTGCTAACGGGTAAGACTTCGGAGAAAGGCTCTGCAACAATTGCCACTTCGGGCGAGAACGGCTTCTATAAAGTTCGAAAGGAGGGTTTCGCTGCAGACGTGGGCTTCTTCGACAGGAACACGTGTCAAAGCCAGACGTCCTGCACTTTCAAACTGGTGTTGTCACCGACGATGTCAGGCGTTGAACTGGACGCTCAGGACTGTACCTTCAGTGTGAAGGCCGAAGACCCTGGCTTCCAGATGCGGGCGGTACTGACGTGGAACAACATGCTAAAAGACTTGGACATTTGGGCAAGAAGTCTGACCTGTGCCAGGGCGATCACAGACAAGTACGGGTGCGACCTTGAAGGAAGTGGAACCAAAAGAGATTGTAGCAGGTTGTTCCAGTTTTGGAACTACGAGGACGATATACTCCGGTCTCGGTCCAGTTGCATTGTCAGGACTTGCACGTCCGAGTGCGTCGAATGGAAATGGCTGTTGTTGTGCCAGAAGTATGAAGAAGATTGTTCGAACGTTTGGGTGAACCCACTCCCTCAGTGGGTGAACTGGTACACGCGAAAGGTCGACACATTGAACACTGACAGGCGGTTATCTTCCGATAGCTACCTTTACTTGGACGTGGACGAAAAAAATGGCTATGGGCCCGAGACTGTCACTTTCATGAACGTCCCTCCTGGCACGTACCAGGTTGTGGTGGACACGTGGGACTCCTCGCGGAGTGATGTCCGAGATGCTAGTCCGATGGTCACGCTGTACATCGGGAAAACCAGCATCCCTTTCAAGTGCACGCCTGATCCGTCGTGCACCTCTGAATCGAAACTATGGAATGTCGTGAATATCATCATCGAGGAGGTGCAGGGCGACGCTGGAGGCAGAAAGTACAGGGTCCGCTTGAAAGACAGCCACTCGAACATGGAGCCCCTGCACGAGCTGGACCTCCCCACGGACGACTATTTCGGTGTAAAGGCCGGTGGAGAGTCGCCACAGCGGTCGTACAACAACGAGTACCTCAAGAACGTCTGCTACGGAACGTGCGAGGTCGCGCCAGGCTCGTCGTACGACACATGTGTCGATCACGGACCCACTTAGTTCGGGGTCTAGCGGCGTCTGTCGGCGTCTGCCGTGGCTAGTTTTTGTTCTCCCCGCTCACCATCCTTGCACGTCGGCAGAAGCGGTCCCCCGTCAGGAAGTGATACATAGATACGTGCAGTGTTCCCTTAGCATCGATGGCTGTGAGGGTCCAGTGGTGCTCTCAGGGGGCACAACCGCTGAAGCAACGGACCATTTGGTAACCCCGTGCCCCGGACAATAATAGATACCCCCCTTACGTCTCCTTTAGAGTGCGGGGTGCCTGGTGCATCCTATGGCGCAACCTATGGCGCAATGGTCCACGGACTGAGGCAACTGCCAAGCTCGTAGACTGCGGGGTGGAGGCCTGGCGCAACGTGGGGTGTGACCTACGGCGCAATACTTTGCCCGCTGGTGCAACTGACGCTGTGGTATAATGCTGGGTGCCTGGCGCAACCCGTGGAATGGCCACTGTGGTAACGGACACTTAAGTTGCCCGCGGGGTGTCTGGCGCAATATATGGTACAACTTATGACGCAATGCTGTTTCTGGTTTTTGCGGGGGCGGCTGGAGCTGACCTCAGCCAGGCCCCGAGAGTATGTTGCACACAACGCGTCAGTGTGCAGGCGGCAACACGGTGCCCCTAAGCTTAGCCCCAAGCGAGTATTGTCCAAGTGCTGGCGCTTTTGATGAGGGGAACCGCTCTGCAGCCTCGTGCGATCCATCACGCCGTGGTCCCATCGGGCTGGCGATTGTTACTCGGATCTTGGAAGGTAAGACCAATCAGGACATGGTTTTCTGTTCGATGTGTGCCGAAGCTGCGTGTGTGGGCGACAGGGGTTCACTGGCCGCGGCTAGGTAGAAGTTCGGCCAACATGTTTTTGCTTCCAGTGGGGACGGTGCCCCGCAGGTCGTCCAGTCCTGTTGTCAAATCTGATTGCCCAGTGTGGTTGGTGTCCCGTGTTCGTCCGGTGCGGTTCTTCCATACGGCGGTCCCGTGTTTGACAACTAAACAGTTAGGTCGTCAGTGTACCGTGATATGCCGCAAGTTGAGTATGTAGGTTCCCGCTCGTGTATGTATCACAGATTGAAGACGCCTACGGCGAGTCACCGCTGCCCCCGACCTTCCTCAGAAATCCGAGGCCGCCAAACATTTGGCCAAAGGTTGGTCAAGGTATATGTTCCCCCAGCCGCTGTGGAAACCTTTAGGGAAACATTTCTGGAAAGAAAGAAGGAGAGAGGAGAAGCTAGGTGCGCAAGCGTCTTCTCTGACGTCCTACCCATCCCTCCCACCCCTTACCATGGCGTAGATCTCCTCTCTATTCGCACACTCGGATACCGAACAGGGCAATGACCCCGAGAGGGTACGAGATGTATGGTAGTGCACGGCGTAACACGTCGTAGAAGAGCACGGCAGAGCGTAACGTGTCATATCATGGCGCGGCATTGCATAGTGACGCATTGCAGCGCACAGCTCGGCATCGCAGAGGGGCGCAGAACACAAATCTGAGGGAAACCAGGCATGACGCAAAACGAAACATGTAAATGGACGGTTCGGAAAGAGCGGAAGCGTAACATGAGAGCCAACGCTGCAGCGGGAAGACGGCTTGAAATATTCGCGACAAAATATTGGGGTCATCGTTGCAGCGGGAGTGTGATTTGGAAGGGCCAGGAGACAGATCATGGAGCAAACGCTGGAGTGGGAGCGCCATTCTGAAAACACCGAAAACATCAGGGTTGGACGAATACATATATGATCGACCACCTTTGGGGGATCCGATGTATAAAGCTATATTGCGGAGGGGGGCAGGCTACGACCTCGGATTGTTCGGGGGAGAGGGGATAGTAGTTTCCGTATTGTGTACAAGTCGTTCAGTTCTAATCGTGATCATTTTTGATTGCGTTCGTTTCTAATTGTTGTTGGCCCCCTAGTGGCCAGGAATAGGCCCAGGATAGAACACTTTGAAATGAAAGGATCTTGGCCCACAGAAAATCACAGAACTTTCGATTCATTGTAAATGAATCAAATGTACTTGTGCAGCGGGATGATGGTGATGCTGATGTTGATGCTGCTGCTGCTGATGTTTATGATGATATGATGGTGATGATGGTGATGATGGTGATGATGGTGATGATGGTGATGATGGTGATGATGATGATGATGATGATGATGATGATGATGATGATGATGATGATGCTGGCACAGTCATGATCTAGCTGTTGCACAGGTGTGTCGTTTACGATCGTTCACCTTTTGTCAATAATGGTCAAACTGCTCAGGAGCGGCCCGGCCGATGGTCCCGCGCGGCGGCGCCGGCGCAGCTTGGGCGGTGCTGGTGCTGGAGCTGGCGCAGGTCGTGAGGGACCTGCGGGCGCTGGCGGCGCCACCGTCGTCCCCGCCCCCGCCGCCTCCGCCGCCTCCGCCGGCGGCTTCGGCGGACAGCGGCCCGAAGGGTCGCCAGCGTGGGCGCGTGCCCGCTTCGACGCGGCGCTCGCGGCCTGCGAGAGCTGCCCCGCCACAGTTCGGCAGGGCTGTCCGCAATCACCTCTCCAGTTTGCCGTGCTGTCAGACGTTTTGCTGCGTCGGCTGCCCCGCTTGGTGCCAGAGTCTAGCCAGCGCGCCTACGCCGACGACCTCGCGGTGGCCCTCGCCCACAGCACGCGGGGCGCGCCCATCCTCGAGCGCGTTTCTGACGAGTATGAGCGGCTGTCTGGTCTGAAGCTACACAGGGGGAAGAGCGTCCAGGTGCCCCTCTCCTACACCAGTGGACGTGGTCCGAGTTCGCTTGCAGGCCCCACCTGCGGGGAGTTTACGGTGCGCCGGCACGCCACGTACTTAGGTTTCGAGTTGGGGCCCGAGCGCGCGCAATCGTCCTGGACAAAGCCGCTGCAAAAGTATATCTCTCGGGCAAGGACATGGCGTGCCGTAGGCGGCGGCATGCTCATCACCTTCCTCGCCGACCGCGTCTACATCTTTCCTGTCCTCTGCTTCGTCATGCAGCTGGACCGGCTGCCGCCATACTGGGCCGAGTATGAGCAGAAGGCGTGCGCGATGCTGTTCCCGGGGCCGCGCTGCTGGACCTCGCCGGCCGCTTTGCGGGACTTGTGCTCATTAGGATTCCCTTCGCAGCTTCCCGATGCACACGCCACTTCCCTTGCAGCCAAGTGCAGGGTGCACCGCTGGGAGGCCGATGCCACCGGGGGCCTGCAGATCCCACGCCAGCGGCGTTTGCTGATGGTCAAAATTAGCAACTCGAGCAACTTCCAGTAGTTGGCTACAGGGGGTGAGTGGTACAATCGCAACTTGATCGAGAATCTCGAGGTGGCGCAGTCCCGCCTCGAGGCTTGCACCGTCGGGGCCGGCCTCTCCGTCGCTCTTGTGGTCCAAGGTGCTTCTGCTACCCCGACGCCCCGGTCGCAATGGCAACGGCGCTGCCGCCAGCTGCTGGCACAAGCGAGCCCAGTGAGCACCACGCGTGAGCTTTCTCGCTCCTTTTGTCGCTTCCCCTTCCACCTCCTTCCAGGTCGTCGCCTTCCTCGCGCGCTGGCGGCTTTGCGCGGTCTGGCGCAAGCCGTGCCTTCCAGGGTTTGGGCATCTCTGTGCAGGGCCATGTGCGACAGCTGGCAGACCGCCCTGCGATTTGGGCGCTGGGCACTTTGCCCCTTCGGTTGTCCGCGCGGCGAGGAGAGTCTACAGCATTTCGCACAGTGCCCTTGCGTGGCGGAGCTAGGCTACAGGCACTTGCGTCTGCCCCGCTCCTCCCCGGCAGCTCGTTTCTCGTGTTTTGTGGCTCTGGAGCCCGCGTTTTCCGAGGACGCGGCCCCTCTGTTAGCTCGCCTCTATGGCAGCCTATTGCGCATACGTTGCTTCCGGCGCGGCTCGTCACAATTCTACGGCGGATGCGGTTGGCGCCCGGTGGCGGCATGGCTGGGAGGCCTGCGCTGCGCGCCCAGCGCTGGCTGCCATAGTCGCCGCAGCGTGGCAGGAAACGCACGGTTGACCGCTGCACGTTGGTCCAGTCGCCTCTGTCCCGGCCGCGTGGCCGATAAGTGGTTGGCACGGCAGTTCCCCCTCCTCCCCCCTCCTTTCCTTCCCCCCCTCCCTTCCTTTCCCTCTTCTGACCGTGTGCCAGCTTATCCGGTTGTGCAGTGCCGCGGAAAGTCCCGATGAGGCAGCGCATTAGGTCCGTGATTTGCATGTCGTCGCAGGTTGGTCATGTCGCCTCTGTCCCGGCCGCGTGGCCGATATGAGGTGGGCGTGGCAGTTCCCCCTTCTCCCCCTCCTCTCCTCCCTTTCCTTCCCGCCCTTTTCCCCTCCTCCTCCTCCTGTGCATGTTGCATGTGTGTGTTGTAACACAGTACCATTACCTAGCTACTCGCTGCTCCCGCAGTCCCCTGCGCGCCGATGGTCACGCCATGGCCTCGCATTTGCTTTTGGTCGCTGCCCAGCGCCTTATTTCCGTGCGTGTTGTACCGAGTCGTCAACAAGCGCGACACCTTGCGAGCGCACCCTATTCTGGTCAGCGGGGCGCCCAGACTCACAAGAGTCGGCTGGCGATGAGTCACAGGGGTTTGCTCAGTGCTCTCCTCCTTTCCGCGCCTCCTCCTTCCTCTTCCCCTCTCCTGCCCGACTCCGAGGCTATTGCAGGTTGTTGCCAGCATCTCTGCACTGCTGCCGGCTCTCTGGCACGGGGGTGATACGTTTCCCTGCGAATTCGTATATTGTGTTATCTGCCTCGTTGTTGCCTGCGTCCGTTGTCACACCTGAAAACCGTATTCTTCCTCACCAGAAGTCTATAGGTGAGGAAGAATACGGTTTTCAAGTGCTACAGGCATTCGCGTTACGACGGTGGTTTTTGAATCTTGCGGTCCGCTCCCATCTTCTCCCTCTAACAAAGAAACAGACGGGCCCGAGCCCGTGGAGGGGCCGGGGCCTTGGGGGCCGGTGATCGCGCTGCTGGCGACGCAATTGGCACAGGCGGTCGCGGCCGGGTGCTGGCGCCGTCGACC